AACGACAGCAACTTGTCTGTTCCCCTTCCCCCAATTCCCCAGCACTGTTCCCATCCCCCCAATTACCCAATTAAAAAAAAAAAAAACATTAAAAAAAAATCTTTAAAAAAAAAAAAAAGGAAGGAAACTGACACATGATACAACATGGATGAACCTTGAGAACTAAATGAAATAAGCAAGCACAAATACTGCATGATTCCATTTACATGAGATCCCTAGAGTAGTCAAATTCACAGAGTAGAATGATAGCTGCCAGCATTGGGGGGAGGAAGAAAAGGGGTATTTTCATTTAATAGGTATAGATTTTAAGTTTTACAAGACAAAAAATTTTGGAGCGTGGTTGCACAAAAACGTGAATGTACTCAACACTACTGAACTCTACACTTAAAAATGGTTACAGTGGTAAATTTTATATTATGTATACTTTACCACAATTAAAAAATAAAAACTTTTAGTTTAAAAAAAGAATACAGTGGTATTAGCACAATACTTGGTACATAAGTATTCAATAAACATTAGCCAACGCTATGGTTTTTATCCTTTTTATTTTTAAAAAACCTACACTGAAGAAAAAACCAAAAGTCCTTCCTTCAGCGTGTGAATGGTTAAACATTCATACCAAGGAATAAAACCCAGCAATTTTTAAAAATGAAGTAACAGCAACTTGGATGGCTCTCATGGGTTTTATGCTGAGTGAAAAAAACACCCAATCCCCAAAAGTCACATATTAAATAATACCATTTCTGTAACATTTTCAAAATGACAGAATTCAGCTGATGGAGAACAGATCACTGGTTTCAGGGTTAGGGAAGGGTGTGACTTTAAGGGGCTAGGACAAGAAAATGTCTCTGGGATGGTGGGAAACTTCTGGAACCTGACTTTGGTGGTAGTTTGGTGGGATAATTTTAATTTCTTAGAACTATATTCCCCCCAAAAAATGTATGTAATGTAAAACCTGGTGAAATCAAAATAACATCTATAGTTTAGGCATAGTATTGTACTGATGTGCATTTAAAGGTTTTGATAACTGTTATCACTGGGAAACCACTATTTTAGCAACTTCTATGTGAGTATAAAAGTATTTCAAAATGACAAATTTAAAGAACAAACTACATGAAAAAAAAAAGGAAAGCTCCATCCGAGGCCCTCTCTTTATGCTAAAAAAAAAATGAGTCAGATAAAAGCAAGGTGTTGATGGGAGTGAAGGAAAAATATATAGCAGATAAATAAACTTATAATGAGTTTTAGTATACGTGGGAGGGTCCCTGAAAAACATGTGCATCACTGCTTATTACTAATACTATTATATAACCATACAAGTTGCCAGATAACTTCAAATCTGGCAGCAAGTATTCAAAAAATGTAATAAACACTTTTATTACACTTTCATTGGATTTTTTTTTATTTGAGGGAAATCACAGCATTTAATAAATGCCGTATATTCTCAGTATGTACTCCAGATACACTGGAAAATTGTAATATGCCATACTATTGGACCACCAGGATGATACATCTTTCTCTTGCAGCCCAGAGCAGAATATTACTCAAATTCAATGTCACTCAGTGATTTACTAAGATGACTCACAGCACTCAACATATAGTCACCATCAGGCTATGATTTATTACAGGGAAAGGATGCTAAGAATAAGGAAAGTGAAAAGGTGCATTGAGGTGCAGGGAAGAAGAGAGTGACACCAAGCACAAGCTTCCAGGGTAGAAGGACTGGGCTCTGTGGTCAGAGGTCAGGGAGAAGAGGAACTGACCAACTGACTTTCCAGGGCAAAACATGAGGTACTGCATGGCAAACCTGCAGCAACTCCATTACACCAAAATCCTGCATATGGGTTCCCCCATGTCCCAGGCAGTATTGTGTACCGTTATGGACAATAATTTATTGAACAATAAGGATTTACATCTTTTAAAAGTTAATTAATGAATAAGAAAATGAACAATTTGGGCTGATGGTTAGTGCCCAGTATGTGCATCCCGAGTGCCTGTCTCCGATTTCAAAGGTAGAAGTAGAGGAAGGCGCACGGCCCACTCCCAAGAAATCAAGAAACCACAGACTCCCATCTGCGCTAAGCTGGCATACCATCAATTTCCTTTCCTAAAACTGGGCGAATTTGAAAAGGACAACTTGGGCTGCAGGACAATGGATTTCAAAGGGGAGTTCCTTTCCACTTGGTCTCCAAAGATGGACTTGAGAGCAAGTCTGAACAACTGAAGGTTGCTGGGTATCCATTTGAATGAAGAACTGACACATGCTACAACATGGATGAGCCTTGAGAACATTATACTAAGAGAAAGAAGCCAGCCACAAAAGGCCACACATTTTATTATTCCATGGATATAAAATGTACATAATAGGCAAATCCATAGAGACAGAAAGTAAATTAGTGGTTGCTTAGGTCTGATGGGGATGAGAGCACAGGCGGGTTATAGGTGAAGGGTGAAAGGTTTCGTTATGAGTGATGAAAACATTCTAAAATTGCAGTGCAACAAATGGTTGCACATCTGTGAATATACAAAAAACACACTGAATTGGACACATTAAAGGGAAAATGGTATGGTATGTGAATTATATGTCAATAAGCCTGTTGTTTTTAAAAGAGTAAATGGTGTTGGATACATGGGGAAGTTATTTGACTATTCTTTAAGCTTTTGTTTATGTTTTAAATTACCCATAGTAAAAAAAAATTAAATTAAATTTCACTTTTTTTTTAAGCAGGATACTGCCGTATTTTGGCTACATTTACCACTCTATCAGAAGAACAATAGGTTGGCAAATTAAATTCAGAGGTTAGCAAAATAAATTCTACCCTTTCTCCTGGAAGAATATCCCACCCCATTGAAAGAAAAATTAACAGCAAATTAAGACAAATAAAATGCTAATTCATTTTCCAAGTTCAGAAAGATATAGGCCTTGACTTTAAGATATTAAGGTTAGCAATGGGTAGGGAAGGTCAGTTACTAGCAGGTTAGGAAGAAGGAAGATAAGGAACAACAGTAATAGGGCATTTTTCAATCGTGAAGCCTGGCTTTTCCATTACAAAAACAAATAGAAAAGTATTCCAAAAAGTAAAAAATGTACTATGTTTAAACTGATTTTTATTTGGTTTAGTTAACTGTCTTGAATAGACATAAGAAACAAGAATTTGGGGCCGGCAAAGTGGCTCAGTTGATTAAGAGTTAGCTTAAGAGCGTCAGCTCTGAGCAACAGGGCCGCTGGTTCAGTTCCTACATGGGCCAGTGAGGCTGCGCCCCAGCTGAGTTGCCACTGAGCTGCCAACAGGTGGCAGGGTGGCTCAGCTGGTGAGAGCATGTGCTCCTAACAACAAGAATGCCTGTTCGATGGAGGGCTATGCCTTCCAGAAACTAAGACTGAACTTGGCACCTTGAGCTGAGCTGCCACCCAGATGGCTCAGTGGATAGAGCACGCGCTCTTAACAACAAGGCTGCCAGGTTCCACTCCCGCATGAGAAGGGATGGTGGCTAGGCCCACCTGCAACTAGGACTGAACTTGACACCTTGAACTGAGCTGCCACCCGGATGGCTCAGTGGATAGAGCACGCACTCTTAACTACAAGGCTGCTGGTTCGACTCCCGCATAGGATGGTGGCTACGCCCACCCACAACTAAGATTGTAACACAGCACCTTGAGCTTAGAGGCCACAAGCTGCAGACAGACAGCCAGATGGCGACTGGTGCCCTCCACAACTAAGACTGAAGAACAACAACTTCGCTGGTCCCTCTCCCCAGTTCCCCAACACTGGTCCCCTCCCCCAATTCCTCAATTTAATAAAAAAAAAAAAAAAGAAAGAAACAAGGATTTGTATTTTACCTCCTACTCATTCAATGGTGATTTCCTGCTCCTCAATGATTTTCTGTTTTTAAGTAAATGAAAAACAAAAACCAAAAATCACGTCTTCAATGGCTATCATCTCCCTTCAATGGAAAGGAAAACAATCGCTGAAATTTACTAATTGTTTCCTAAGTCCCAGGCAGTGTCCTAAGTGCTTTGCAAGTATTCTATTTTAATCTTCAGAACAGAACTACCAAGTAAATCATAGGTGCTATTATTCAGGTACCCCTGAATACAGAGAGGTTAAGAAACCTGCCCAAGTGATCATAACTAGTAGTATGTGGTGGAAGTAACATCCAAAACCACGCTGTCTACTCCAGAACCCTAAACAAGTATAGCCACCCCACAAACACTAAAACGCTGTAACTCTGTTAATATTCAGTTTAACCTCTGCAAGTTCAACCTGCAGGAAAGTATTTTATATTTTAATTAAATTTTTAAAGGATGGTTAGAAAACAATAATTTGAACATTTTAACAGGTGCATACCTATAAATAGTCACAAAAGATTGATCTCTTATGCCTTATTAGAATAATAAATAGAAGATAATCTCTTCGTCCCCTATGCTCCAGAAATTCTCTTCTCACTTATCACTTAACACTTTGCTTGTTTTCAATACTTACATCTATATATACATGTTATCTTCCACACTAAGTTTACTCAGATTTAGTTTTTATTTACAACATATATGGTTTAACACCTCATTGACCTAGTCCTACTATATGGAAGGATGACTAGAAAAATTACTCTGGAAATGACAACCCCAGGAATCCTGGTTTAGAAGGCAGATTCTGGAATTAGGAGGCGAAAACTCTGGCACAGCTGTTGTTCATATTTGGAGATTTGTTTTCTCCAGGTCACACTAGTGCCACCTCAAATTTTGCAAAACAGGAATCTTCCAGTCCAATAAAGATGACAAATGCATGAAGAGTTACAAGAATGTTGCTTTTGAAGACAATACTATAAGGGCTCAGTGTTGTGATTTGTGATACAAGTCACAAAAGGCAAAAAAGAGCATAGGAGATGTCAGATTGACCTGGGTTCCCCTTCTGACACCCCATTCCAGCAGCGTCACCTTAAACAAGTCCCTCATCTTCTTAGTCTCCCAATTGTTCTGTGGGTAGGAGGGTAGAATAGCCTAAAACATGTAACTGCTTAGCCCAACACCCAACCTATAGAAAACACTCAATCAGATAAATGTTAACAGTAACCTAGAAGTAATGATAGTGGTGGTGGAGTGTGTTCTGAGCCAGACAAAACTTCAGACGCTTATCTGACCCTCTGGATTGAAGTTCAAATGACTGATAATAATCTTTCATTGAAACTTTGTGAATCAGCAGGGATGTTTTATAACTTCATGTGTTTCAATAATTTTTGAGAAATATTTGGAAGACTTTATTCTGAGGGATAAGACTTGCTACATACATCCAAAGCTGTAAAACTTTAAAAATTACTAGACTGTTGATATTGGATTTTTTCCCCTGCAATGAATGTTTCCATCACTAAGTTGTACCATAAATATAAGTGTAGTTTTCTTTAAGGACAACAGTCACACATAATTACACAAAATGAAAAAGTCCTTAAATTTCTCATAAACAACTTGTAAACTATTTGTAAATTTTTTTAAGTTTTTTTAAACTCTTCTAAATAATTATTCAGTCTCTTCACACACACAAAAATAATTACCGGTTACTGTCTTTACATATTTCTAATAAAAGTTAGAAAACCTCTTCCTCTCCGAATGCTGGCAGACTTTCGTTAAGACCCCATAGGTTTCCCCCCAGCACATTCACGTTTTGTGTGGGTGTAATATGGTTTCACTTTTTAAGTAAAAGTGAGATGGCAAGAGAAAAAAAAACTATGAATTTCTCCAGGAAATCTGAGTCAACTACAGGAGGACTTGACTGGGGAAGGGAGATGCTGATAAAATCAGTTCGGTTCTTCTAAACAGCTGTGGTCTGCGGTGTAAAAAGAGAGACGGCAAAGCACTAATCCTACTGCAAGAAGGAATTAGGAGGGATTAGTACATGCATCCTACTTCAGTCATTGGCTGAGAACTGCTTTGACCATTTGCTGACAAGACCTGTTGGACACAGGAGGAGGAGGATGCTCCTGCACCACGTGACATTCCTGAATGGAATCTAAACATTTTTATCACCCTTTCTCGAAAACGATCACAGGACCTCCCCCACATTGTTCTCGCGGTTGTGTTTTGTGTTACTTTCCATGCAAACATCCTTCCTAGGAAACCTATCATTCTGTATGTCCCAAAACCGTTACATGTCATCAGAGGTTCAATCTTGCCCACAAAATAAAACTCGGAAAAGGAATTCATGAGCCCGATGTTTATTACCACACATACTTTCTCACCTGAAGCCGAACCGGGTGGGTCCTGCGCCACCTTTCTTCGAACTCTCTTTCCGCAGATTTCCCTTTAAGAACGTCTGCCAGGGTCCCAAGGGACGACGAGAACAGGAACGGAGGGTGCTGGGAAAAGCCACCCTTAACTTCACTACTCCCTCTCGTTCTCCTGCCCAACTTGTTCCACGTCCTGAGCAAAGAGAGAGCCTCGCAAGTCAGCACCACCAGTTCCAGAGTTGAAGCGCTCCCCCCAAGGAGCTCCTCTGCATCCCTTCTCTGTCACCCCCGCAGACACACAGGAGAAACGGCATCAATCCCTTGGAAGGGACCAGGCAGGCGAAAACAACGGCAAGTCCTGCTGCTCACAAAGAGGAGGAAATGATGAAGGAGGCAGTGAATGGGATGTAGCAGGAAAAGGACAGCAGCGGCGGAAGGGACACCTTCCGACTCCTGCTAACTCCAAGCCATCTTCGCCCTGTTGTCATAGCACTTTACAACGAACGCTGCTGCGCAAGTCAGGTGGCTGAGCACCGAGGCCTTCTGGGGGTTGTAGTCCAGGGCGAAGTTGGAGGACTTTCAGTGGGCGGTGCTTGGCTTCAGATTTCTATGGGGCGGGGCGGAATGAACAAACTGCCTGGTCTTCATTAGCAGAGATAGATAATTAATAAAATTCCCTCTCCAGGCCTTGGACAGTTCCTCGGACCCAGACTCTTAAGGAAAAACTGCCTCCCGCCTCCGCCGCACACGCAGTACATGCCCCACTCGCTCCATCCCCGGCCCCGCCCGTCGGCGCTCGTGGGTGAGGCTCTCCGCCCGGATGGGGCTCACGCAGCGGGGCGGGGCGTCAGGGCTTTTCGGCGGGCTCGTGCTGCCCAGGCCCAAATCGGCGGGGAGCCGCCTTGTATTTTCCAGTCTGTGCATGCTGGAGGCTAGGTCGCCGGAACTGACAGACTTGGTGGGGGTGGACCAGTAGCGAATGCCATGCGTGCGTCTGGGCCGGGGCGGGGCGCTGGCCCAGCACATATTCACCTTGAAAAGCAAGACACCTGGGGCGGCCCACCAAGATCATGGAGATGGGGCATTTGAGAGTTTCCAGGTGTTTTGGTTTTTGCCTAGAGGAAAAAGTGCTGCTGTAGTTATTTGTACATCTCCCCTGATCACATCTGCTAAATATTCTCTTTAGTATATACCTTAAAGTGGATTTCCTGGTATACAGGTATGGAAGTGTTCAGCTTTACAACTGAACATAACAATAGTGTCAATTTTTCAAATTTTCTTCTGGTGGTCGGCACCGATTTAACACCAACAGGAATCCCCAATTTGGGGTGTGGTGAAGCAGGAAACCTTATTCAGTGCAAACAGCTGGATTGTGATATAGCTGGGCTGTGAGAACCACACAGCTGTGGAATAGCTCAGTAGAGTTACATACAGCTCAATTATGAAGCAGCGCAGCTGTGGCACAGAGCCCTCCGTGGGGCAAGGCAGGCCAACACCTCTGCTCCTTGCTGGGCAGCTCCGATCTGCGCCTGCTAAGGGGGATACCCACCATCCCCACCCCCACCCCCACCCCCATGAGCTGACTTATATAGAAAGAAGTTCCCAGCCCAGGCCCTTGATTAGTCCACCTTCATGCAATAAGGACGACAAATCCTCACTGATTCGTCCAAAAGTACGGTCCTACTTGGTCAGAATGGATCTGCTCTGATTGGTCAGGGATATAGAAGCACACATCAAATAGGACAGGGAGTGTCTTAGTCCTATTGGTTAAAACAGGATTCCATCAACTCCTTTATAAAAGCTGGCTCACCTGACAGGAACACAGTTCAGGCAAGTAGTTCAGTGCAGGAGGTAGGCGCTTCAGTGCAGACATCTCCCTTGAAGGTAAACTTGAGAGGCTCTTGTTTAAAAACAGCTCCTAGGCTGTTTTCGTTTTTGTTTTTTCATTTGATCCCACCAGGAGTCATTGGATAGGCATTTTCTTTCTCAGGGTCCATACATCTTTGCTTTCAAATTCAGTATTATAACTTGTCAGTCACCAACCTTGACACTTTTCTTCTTGTTTTTCACTGGATTTTAACTTAGGTTTTAAAGTTCCTGTTTTTCATCAATTCACATTACCACTAGAAAATACAATTCTAAATTATATTTCTTAAAAAGAATTTCATGAAAATCACCAATGCCATTAATTTGTAATACTTTGATATTATTAAACCGTCACAACATTGGATGTAAAAAATAAAAATGTAAATTATTTGGATTGCCAGTAATAGCTTAGGAAAATTATGATAAAATACTATTATTCCACTATTAAAATTCAAATGATTCAAATGTTTCAACTTGAAAAAAGTTCATATCAGTGAGAAAAAGTCTTAAATAAGATTTGGTATCATTTTTATAAGGAAAAAATACCGGAAGGAATTTTCACAAAAATTTTAATAGTGGCTATTAAGTGGACTAAGGAGGGATTTAATTGTTCCTTTCAATTTTCAATGTTTTCCAATATTTACTCAATGGCCATGTATTACCTTTGTACTTAGAATAAAAGCTTTAAAAATAGAATAAAATACTGTATGAAAATAAATGATTATCTCAATTTACTCCTTTGTATTTCAACCTTCTAAGAAATCTAAATGCTTAATTTTTTTTTTAAATCCTGTGATGAGAAGCTTCTGAAAGCTTGCAATAGCCAACCTATTTCATTCACAGTGCAGGATAATGTGAAGAATACTATTTGCTGGAAAACCTAAGGTCATTTATCATTTATAGCATTAAAAGTTTATTTTCAACAGCTGGTGTAAGAATTCCTCTTAATGAGCGTGGTAGTTTACAAAAAAATGGCTGTAGTTTTTTTTTCCAGTTTTTGTTTGCACATTGCTTTGCAATGTGACTTTGCAGCTGCACCTCTAGACTTGAATTTGTCATTATGACTTGCTTTGGCCAATGAGTTGTAAACGTGATGCAAGCAAAACTTGAAAAGTTCTTATGCATTCTGGCTTCCCCTCTCGTGCTTCTCTTGGAAATACTGCAGCCACTTCCATGTAAATGACCTGATGAAGCCTGCTGGATGATGAGATATGTTGTCAGAACAGACACGAGTGAAGCCATCCTAAACCAAACAACCTCAAAGAACCCCCAGCTAACTGCAGAGATTCATGAAGCCCCCCAAAGCAGAACTCACACAACCCACGTTATTTTTTTTAATCATACATATTAGCTACATATAAGAATCATATATCAGATGAAGTTTCAAAACAACCTAGTTAAGCACCTAACACTTTTGCATCCTGGCTCCACGACTTACTAGCTCTGCACCCTTGAGCATGTCACTAATCTCTCTGGGCCTCCTTCTCCTTATCTATAAAACTAGGATAATACATAAAGTTAGTAACAATACTTATTAAATTTTTAAAGCTTAAATCAACTCTTATAAGGACTTAACACAATGACCAGCACATAAAAAGCGCTCAGTGTATATTAGCTTTTCTTTTCCAGCACCCAAACTTGGCTAAATACAATACAGTTTTAACCTGGGATCGCATGCTCTAACACTGAATTCCTATGGAGAGACTTCCTCTCTCCAAAACTGCATGAATCCTATAACACATAACGAGCAGCTCCTGTCTGTCCAGCCACTGGGGGATACAAAGATGACCTGCCCAGGTTCCCTGGCCTCCAGGGCTGGAGACCGTGAGGGTAGGCGCCCGATACGGAGAGGTCCCTGGTGACGGGAAGGGCTCCCAGGTTCCCACCGCCGGCATCCTCAGCGCTCGGCCGCCGCCAGAGGGCGCCCTGCGACCTCCGGCACCCGCAGGCCTGGCGACAGGGTCCCGCGCTTGGAGCTAGGACTGAAGGCCGCGCGCCGGAAGGCGGGGACCGGGGCCTCGGCGGGGACACCAGGCTCGGCCTGCAGTCCGCGGAGCGCGAGGGGGCGCTGCGGGGCCGGGCGGGCGCGGCGCGGAGGAAGTGCCGTCTTGGCCACCGCCTCCTGAGCCGCGCCGCGGGGCAGCCAGAGCCGCGCAGGTCGCGATGTCGTCCCGGCGGGGGCGCGACGACGAGCGGGCCGGGGCCGCGAGGCGGACGCGGGAGCCGGTGGAGGAGGAGGAGCTGCAGCGGCGCCGGGAGCAGAGGCGGCGGCGGCACGACGCGCAGCAGCTGCAGCAGCTCAAGCACCTGGAGTCCTTGTGAGTCGCCGGCCCCCCATGTCCTGCGAGGGACGGGCGCCGTGTGGGCGCGTTAGGCGGGGTCCTCGGAGAGCCGCGAGTGGGCTGGTGGCACCGGCTGCCGGTTGCAGATCGGATGCACTCGCCTTGCAGCCGTCCCCCGGCGAGAGGGGAGGTCGGTGCCCCGGGCGCCCTGGAGCTGCCTAGGCCGGAGGGAGCGCAGGCTCCGCCCCCGAGGCTCCCCGGGGCGCACGCGGGGTTTGGGGGCGCTTTCCCGGCTGGGAAGCCAAGGTTTATAGTCCAGCAGTAGTATTGGATGTTTAAACTACGTGACTCTGGAAATACAAATTTTTATTTAAAAGTAAACAAGCTTCTGAAGTAGCCAAACCAAATATATCAACAGCCAGGAAGTTTTAAATTTCTGAAACTGAAAAATCCCACGGTCTGGGAATCAGACACCTGGGTTCCCTTTTACTGTTGCTAGTTTGCAGGTCAGTGTTTCCTTGATTAGGTTACTCAACTGCTGAACCTGCATTTCCTCATCTGCAGGTGTAGGAGTTTGGCTTGGGCTCTGCCGGGCGCTAAGCACTTAGTCGGCGCGTTCCGTCGGGATTTGGGGACTGCGAGAAGCGCAGCTGAGCGCTTTGGTCCCTGACCTTGCACGGTTTTCAGGTCACAGGGCCCACCATAAACTCGATGCAATCTTTCCATCTTCTGTTAATAGGGGAAGAGAAAACCCAGTCCTGTAACATTAGCGTGGTAAATAAGAGAAGAATAAACAGTGGGGTGAGGGCCTTGTCCCTGTTACTGGAACGGTGGCTGTCAGGTAGAAGTGTGTAGACTTGCTCTCTCTAGTCCTGACTTAAGGGTGGACGCTACAAAGAGGCCGATTCCAGCTCAACAAAAAATCAGGCCCAGAGACTACTCTCGCTGGTGAGCATGGCCGGACTTAGGAGGCACTGTGCTCCCCCAGCTCCAGAGGGTTCACGGAGGAGTCCAGCTAACTACTGGGAGAAGGGTGGGGTGTAAAGGAGGCTTAAACACCAGGTGGGAGGTTGGATTAATGACCTTCCACTTCTTTTCAGTCATTCTGTAATTAGCTTTAGAAGGCGAACTTTTTAAA